GGAAAAAGATCAATCACTACTTTGATTATATAAAAAATAAGAACTTCTGGACATCCAAAGACACCGTTAAAGGGAGTAAAAAGAGAAACCACAAACTAGGAGAAGATATCAATAACACTTACAACCAACTAGGAATATCTATAATACAAATGTGACTTCCAGAAACCACCAAGAATTGATAAATAATACAGCAGAAAAATAGGCAAGGCCATTATGAACAGCTACTGCCTCCATAACCTCCCCAACACACAGAAGGAAGGATGATATAGCCAATAAAAATATAATCATTTCAACAGTAGTATAGAAAACACAAATTAAAAACACATTAAAAAATTTTTATATCATTCCAAACGTTAGCAAAGGAGTGAATAAATTTAAGTATAGAAATTGGCAAACATACAAGAAAACAATTTGGAATTACCTACTAATGTGAAGTACACATACATTTTACAACCCAGTAATTACGTACAACCCTGGTACACTTGTACCAGGAGATGTGCACAGGATTATTCATAAGCAGCTATGTTTATATTAGCAAAACTCCAGACACAACCCAAAAGTTCACCAACAAAAGAACACAGAAACAAAGTATACATTTGCACATAAAAGATTACTAGATAACATGGAAAGTTAACCATCACTAAGTTCAGTAAAATGGATGAAATTCAAATCTCAAAACTGTGTGAAAAAAAAAAGCTAAACACAGAATATCTTTAGAGTAATCCCATTTACATAAAGATCAAACAAAAAAATTAAATCATGGGAATGATTAACAAAATTCAGGATAATATCAACTTCCAGGATGGAAGGTAGGAATTAGGTGAAATGATTAAGTATCAGATAAGTCTTGTAAGATACCAGTAATATTCTTTTTCCCCCCTTAGGTATGACTATGGTGTATGTAATAGCAAAATATTAGGGAAAAGGAACATGTTTGCATATTACATTTTCATAAGAAAACATATGAACTGACATGAAATACTTATTATTCAGTGAATAAAGAAGACAAAAGAGAATGGGGGTATAGATTGCCTTTGAGCTGGTAATTGCTGAAATAAGGTTGATAATGGAAGTTCTTTTTATTACTTTCTCAACTTTTGTGCATGCTTAAAATTGGGCATAATAAAACCTATTTTAAAAATTTAGCACCTTTAATTCTAAGTGAGCCTTTTGTTAATCTCAAGAATAAAAAGCAACCTAGATTTCCAACTTCTCTTTAGACTTCAGAAAATCTAAAGAACATTGATTCTACCCTTAACAATGACCACAAACATCAGATGATATGCAAATTCATTCAGGTTCTTAAACCCATCAGAGAGCAGAAGTCACAGGGACAACTAATTAAAATCCAAGGGGAGAAGGGACACAAACACTTGTTTATGTGAAACAGATACTACAGGACAATGATAAGAAGAACAAAGCTAAAATTTTTAACTAAATACTAGAGGCTGACTGTGGGCTAACAAGAGACTATAAAAACTCTGGAGGCCCCAGACACCGAGAGAATCTATATTCATTCATAGGTTCTTCCAGGAACCTCACAAGAAGTTGACTCAAAAAAAGAAAAAAAATTAGAGACACAGTATGAAACCTGGGAAAGTATCCCTTGTGGTCCCTTGGATAATAGAACATTAATAGCTGCAGTTTTTCTCCTGTATCTTTCACATGGAATAAAAGGTGCCAAGGAAAATCAATGGGATAGCCATATGCAAGAAAAATACCTGAACTCTTACAACATACCATACATTGAAATTAACTCAAAATGAATCACAGATCTAAACATAAGAGCCAAAATAATAAATCTTCTAGTAGAACACATTTAAGAAAATCTTTGTGACACTGGATTAGGCAAAGATTTCTTAGATATGACAACAAAAACATAATCCAAAAAAGAAAAATTATAAACTGGACTTCATCAAAATGGAAAACCTCCGCTGCTCCCAAGACATCACTGAAAAAAATGTAAAATAAGAAAAAGAATAGGAATAAAGCAGTAGAGATACTCCTCAACTAACAATGGGTTACATCCTGATAAGCTCATTATAAACTGAAAACAGTATGAACTGAATATGTATTTATGCTCTACTATAGATTACAGTTTAACAACATAGCACAGCATAGAGTACTGGATTACCCTTATGACCACATGGCTAACTGAGAACTGCTACCGCCTAGTACCATAAGATTATCATACTATGTATCAACAGCCCAGGAAAAGATCAAAATTCAAAATTTGAAGTATGGTTTCTACTGAATGCATATCACTTTCTCAAACCATTATAAAGTCAAAAAAATCCTAAGCTGAGCCTATAAGTTGGGGACTTCTGTCTGTATATATTATTGGAACATAAGCTATAATTAAAAATACACATTGTAAATCTAGGCCACTATTAAAAAAAAATTTTTTTTTAAAGATATAAATAGCCAGGTGTGGTGGTGGTATGCACCAATAGTACCAGTCATTCAAGAAGCTGGGGCAGGAAAACGGGAGTTTAAGATACACCTAAGCAATATAACAAGATCCTATCTCAAAAAAAAAAAAAAAAAAGGTTTTCAATAGCAAATAATGGAGACAAACTGGACAAAATGGCTCATCAAAAACACTCAATCCAAAATAAAAAAGGATTAAAAGAAACAAGGAATAAGAGAAACAAATAGGAAACATCTGGCAAGATGATGTATTTTAATCCCTCTAGATCAATAATTACATTAAATGTCAACACCCTTTGGATACAAATTAAAAGACAGATTGTCAGATAACCTAAGACTCAATTATAGGCTGTTTATAAAAAATATCCTTTTTAAATTAAAGAATTTAAGTAGGCTAAAAGGAAATTAGTAAAAATATATAAATCTTGCAACTATTAATCTAAAGAAACCTAAAGGAGCTATATCAAACAAATAACTAAATTAAGTGGTATAGATATTAGTATCAGAAAAATGACTCTAGAACAAGAAATACTGTAAGGTACAAAGAAGGACAGTACATATCAATAAAGGGATCAATTTTTCAAGAATAAAGAATAATCCTAATGTGTATGCATCTAACACAAGATTTTCAAAATGCATGAAACAAATTGATAGAAATGACAGGAGAAAAAGAAGGCACACACTAATACTCCCAGTAATGAAGAGCAGGAGAAAGAAAATCAATAAAAATATACAAGACCTACACAGCACTATCAACCAACTTGACCAACTTAACATTTATAATATATTCTACCTAACAATAGCAGAATGCACATTTCCTTTCAAATTGCACACGGAATATTCACCAAGAAATCACATTCTACACTATAATGAAAACCTTAACAAACTTAAAAGAAATGAAATTATAAAAACTTTATTTCCAGAACATAACAAAACTAAATTAGAAATCAATAACAGAACAATAAGTGGGAAATTCTTAAATATTTTCAAATTAAATACATTTAAAACTAATCCATGAATCAAAGAAGAAATTACTAGGAAAATTAGAAAATATTTTAATTGAATAAAGATAAAAGTACAATATATCAAGATTACCTACAAGTAGTTATTAGAGAGACAGTTACAATATTAAATGCCTATATTAGAAAAGAAAGTCTTAAATTAATCCACATTAATATACTACAAAACATAGTACAAGTTAAACCCAAAGCAGGTAGAAGGAAAGAAAGAATGAAACAAACCAAGAAGAAACTGAGAACAAGAAAACTACAGAGAAAAATTAATGAAACTAGAAACTGGGTTTTTGGAGCTAGACTGACAAAATTTACAAACATGAAGAAAGAAAGAAGGGACATCACCACAGATGACAGACACATTAAAAGGAATGCCAAGAACAACCATATGCCTATAAATCTGACAACTTCCCCGAAAGGCAAAAAGTCAAAGCTCACCCAAGAAGAAGTGATGATCTGAATAATCCTAAATCTATTAAAGAAATTAACATTTTAAGTTTAAAATCTTCCAACAAAGAAACCTCCAAGGCCAGATAGTTATATAGGTAAATTCTATCTAACATTTAAGAAAAAAATAATACTAAATCTGAATTCTTCCCAAGTATAGAAGCAACACTTCCCAATTTCATTCAAGAAGGTAATATTAATCTGGAAAAATGCATTATAACAGAACTAGAAACCAAGATCTCTCATACCCTAGGACATAAAAGTCCTTAACAGTAGGAAATCAAATCTAAGAATAGAAAATAGGATAATACATCATGATTAAATGGGATTTATCCTAGGAAACCAAAGCTGATTCAGCATTTGAAAAATCAACTAATTAACTTTTTACTTCAACAGACTAAATTTTTTTAAAAAATCTGAATAAATGAAGAAAAAGCCTTCATTAAAATATACCACCCATTCTTGACATTAAAAAACAAAGCAAAACTCTCAGCAAATCAGGAACAGAAGGAAATATTCTCAGCCTTATAAAGGGCATCTACCAAAACCTAACTTTGCACTTACATGGTGAAAGACTGAATATTTTCCCTCTAAGATCACTAAAAGAAGGATTTCCACTCTCATGAGTCTATTTAACCCAAGTAACAGTACAATAATGAAAAATAAAGATGAAATAATAAAAGTAATACAGATTGGAAAGGATGAAATAAATCTATTTCTATTCACAGAAAACAAAACTGTCCAAGTAAAAAATCCCAGAGAATTTATTCTAGTCATATCACAAATTCAATAACTAACTGGGCACTGTGGCACCTGCCTATAATCCCAGTGGCTCAAGAGGCTGAGGCTGGAGAATTGCAAGTTCAAAGCCTCAGCAACTTAGCGAGGTCCTAAGCAACTCAGTGAGACCTGTCTCTAAATAAAATATGTAAAAGGATAAAAGGGCTAGGGTGTAGATGAGTAGTTAAGCATACCTGGCTTCAATCGCTGGCACAATAAATAAATAAATAACTACCACACACAAAATAATTTTTTTAAAAGATACAAATTTTATCCCAATTCTTAGGAATTTAAAAATAGATTAGGAAAATATATGTCTACTTATAATCAAACTTTTTCATATTTTTCTTTTATTGAAGGGATTAATAAAATTTACAAATTACTTTACATTTGTAGACATCAATGGATATAACGTACCACAAAACAGTTGAACAAGAAGCAATGGTCAATACTTTTTTGTTTTTTGTTTTTGCCATACTGGAGATCAAACACAGGTCTTCATGAATGCTAGGCAAGGGCTCTACCACTAAGCTATATACTCTAGATCCATAATACTTCAAAACAAGAAATTATATTAAGTTCAAAAAATTTTTATTGTAAATTTTGTAGAATGTAGTATTTGATATGCCTTCCTAAAAAATAGTCACATCATTAAATGAGAATACATAAGAGTTAAAAAAAATACTTAGTATGTTCACCAAGAAAGCATTAACACAGTCAATTTCTCAGATTGACATCCTTTATCATTTACATTTTTATTGGATTTAGCATACCTAATGAAATAATATACAATAGCTACTCATCTAATAAACAATTAGAAAGTAACAAAGTAATAAGCTGACTTCCAAAGGATTTCATAGAAAATAAAATTATTTTCAGCTTAATAATACATACCATCAATATAATCAAATGTGATACTGTACACCATCTGTATTAATTTCAAGTTTCTCATGTATAAAAGTATCATTCTGAAAAACTACTTATGATTTAAATTTTTATTTACATAGGATACATGCTACTTATTTTGAAATTTATAATATATATACAAGTACTTTGAGAGTAAAAAACATTTTAACTCTTGTCCCACAGTGGCTTTTCAATGATAATTTTTAGCTATTATGACTTGGCTTTATAGACTTAGATTTAAAAGATGAAGGATTTAAAGAATAAATGCAAGAAACCGAATCATCAAAATAGGACATAAAATTTTCTGCTTTCTAATGCATTTGATTTTGACAGTGATTCCTCAACACTAGGAAAAAATAAGCCCTCTCCGAGTGTGATCCACATATATTAAATATAAATACCTTATCTTAGAATAAGTAGCCAATGTTTACCAATGTTTCTCATATTACAATAAGAATACAGCCAAGTATAATCACTAAGATTAAAATATCACAACCCCTGGTGATGTGGTATCATTATGCAAAAAAACTCAAAAAGAAAAAAAATTAAACTCAGCAAACTAAGGTATAATATTTATCCAATTAAATAAATGTGATTGCAATAGTTAAAGAAATGTATTATATGCAAACCATCTAAACAAAGACCAGTTATAAAAATTGCAAAAACACAGGTAACAAGGGACTTTTTAATTTAATATTACACATTACAAAATTATTCCAGAAAAGCTAGTGATAGTACTATAGTTCACAGAGTACTCAAAGTTTAAGTGGGGTTTGGACGAGAAGAACCTAATATATCCTTTATATCATATAAATCTATAATCTTAAGAGGAAAAAAAAGGTAAAGGAAGCCAATTGATATCAGACTGCCTGGGTTTAAATTCCAACTCTACCATTTACAAACTATATCCTTGGGGCAAGGTATTATCCTGTCTGTGTCTCTACTTCCTTATTTGTAAACTGGGGATAACCATGATAGCATTTTTGTAAGGATTAAATCAGACAAAAATCTCTGGTACATAAGGAAGAAAATATGAATGTACCACTATTTAGACATTCTAAACAAAATTTTTAAATCTTTATGGCATCACTGGTTTTATCAAAAACAAAATATTAGAAAAATTGAGACAAACACAACATATAATTCTTAATGTCTAAATCCTCACCAATACTTCTGTGAAAACTATCCTTCCTTTTCCAAAAAAGAAATAAAAGAGCATTATTAAAATATTCTTGTCTCAAAAGAAATAAGGTCCTTCAACCCATTCTTTTATCAAATTAAGTCATAGCTGCTCTGATTAAATGTTCTTCAATTCAATTTAGATGTGAAGAACATTTTTCACATGACCAGTTTCATCATCATGTATCTAGTGAAGTAATCTCAAGAGTATGTAACACCAAATACTTGATGTAGAAAAGACACTGTTTATTCCATATATATAAAGCCTAGCGAACAACTTCAGAAAGATCAAAGGAAAGTAAATATAACAACTGTACAGTTGTTTAAGCTTTATTTTTATATGTTTATAAGGGAACAAAAACTTCAAGATGTAGAGTACAATATGTCAAATGAAATAGTTCAAAACTAATGTGCACACAAATAACAGTACAAAGAACATGTACAGGATACATTATATAATTTGTTTTGAGGTTTCAAAAAATTGGTTTTGGTTTAAAATTCTAATACCAATATCTATTATATCTATCAAGTAACACATATTTCAAAAATCAGATCTTTAAAGAAATAATAACTAACATATCTCTATGACAACCTGCCTTTACCACGATCTTCAAAATAATGCTGTTCAATTCTTCTACAGAAAGCCAGGAGGTTGCTATAGTTTTTGACCTTCTCAGACAGTTCATCATTGGTCAACTGTGTGGTTAGAATGGTATATAGATGACCAAATACCAGTGCATCGAGTTCAGTAGGCCTAAAACAAAGGTAAAAATGAGAGTAATATGAGTGACACTACCATATATTATTTCTAAAAACATTTTATTCATCAATTTAAAAGAAAAATGCAGTGGTGGTGCATGCCTATAATCCCAGTGGCTGGAGAGGCTGAGATAGGAGGATCACAAGTTCAAAGCCAGCTTCAGCAATTTGGCAATGCCCTAAGCAACTAAGCTAGACCCTGTCTCAAAATTAAAAAAAAATAATAAAAAGGATTGGGGATGTGGCTCAGTTGTTAAATACCCCTGGGTTCAATCCCTGATAACAAAAAAAAAAAAAGAAGAAGAAATGTAAAGAATCCTATGAATTGATAGAATTTATTTCATTTTAACTTAAAGTTTCTATTAGACTTTAAACTATGATTTGTGAATTATATGATTTGCTTTTTCAAGTAGTATTACTTAAATGAGTTAAAAATATATAGATAATAGATCAATTTTATTCATTATGTTAGTCACCATATACATACAGTAGATCATATATTCAGAAAATGCCAGGTATTAATTGCTGGTGGAACTACAAATTGGTGCAACCAATCTGGAAAGCAGTATGGAGATTCCTTGAAACTAGGATGGAACCATCATTTGACCCAGTATCTTACTCTTAGGCTGATACCCAAGGGACTTAAACTCAGCATTTTACAGTGACACAGGCACATCAATGTTTATAGCAGCTCAAGTCACAATAGCTAAATTGAAGAACTAACCTAAATGCCCTTCTACAGATGAATGGATAAGAACAGTGGTATATATACACAATGGAATATTACTCAGCATTAAAAGAGAATAAAATTATGGCATTTTCAGGTAAATGGATGGAGTTGGAGAATATCATGCTAAGTGAAGTAAGCCAATCCCAAAAAACAAAAGGCTGAAAATTCTCTATGATATATGTATGGATGCTGATCCATAATGGGAGGGAGGGGATAGTAAAAATGGAAGAACTTTAGATAAGGCAAAGGGGAGGGAGAAGTGAGAAAGGGGTATAGGGGCAGGAAAAATGGTGGAATGAGATGGACATCGTTACCCTAGGTACATGTATGACTGCACATATGATGTGACACTACATCATGAACAACCAGAAAAATGAAAAGTTGTGCTGCAATTATGTACAATGAATCAAAATGCATTCTGTCATATATACCTAAGTAGAATAAATTTATTAATTAATTAAAAAAGAAAATGCAAGGTATTAGAGATTATTTTTAAAAGAGAGAGATACTCTAAAACATGGACAAAAAATATAAAATTATTACAACATAATTTTTAAATGTTTTAATAGATTTAAAGGCAAAAAGGCTATGGATATAGCTCAGTTAGTAGAGTGCTTGTCTTGCATGCACAAGGCCCTGAGTTCAATCCCAGCACTACCCCTCCCCCCAAAAAAAAAGGATTTATAAATATTTCCACTATGGTGATGAGGGAAAAAAATAGTGATACCTAATTACCCAACCAAGTATCAGCAACATGATATAACTTTAATTATACTGCTTTTAAAGCAATTTAGATTTTTGAAGGTAACAATCATAAGGTCTAAACATAAAATATTCTAGATTTTTTCTCTTTAATCATACATTACAACAAAATAAAATTTACTCCAGAATAAATGCTATATAAATGGAGCATCACCAAGCTATACTATATTAAAATAATTACTAATGCAATATTATTAAAAGGAAAAAATGCCATAATAAATATTCCATTTTTAATATACTTTCATTAAAATGGCAAACTACCTACTCTAAGTATACAAGGCTAGATGACCTGGCCCCTGCCACCTCTTTGGTGTCATCTACCATTATCAACAATGTAATCAAAACTGGCTTTTCCATTTTTATTTGATTATGAAACACTCATGCCAATCTTGGGGACTTGAAACAAACTATGCTTACTGCCTGGAATATTCTTCCTCTGACTTCACATTATTAGATCCTTGTTTTTCAGAATAACACTCAAATGTCCACTTCAAAGCCTCCCCTGACCACTCAAACTAAAGTAGATACACAGTTACTTGCTGTGATGTGATCATCTTCTAATTCTCCAAGTAGCATTTAATATACAATCCAATATTTATTGTGTATTGTACATCTCCTCTAACAGAATATAGGTTCTATGAGAGGAAGGACCTTGTCCACTTCTTTCCTGCTGTATTCCCAATACTCAGAACAATGCCTGGCACAAAGCAGGTTCTCAACATGGACTGATGAACTTCTCATACCACACTACAACTTCATTTGCTTAACTGCTTCCCTTACTACACTCCAAGTTCTTTAAAGAGAGACAACATTGCACATATTTTTATAGCCCAGCTTGTAGCACAATATCTAAGAATCTGAACCAGTATTTGTTAAGTAAAGAGACCATCCTACCTAAGGAGTGTGAGATAATTTATTTTTTGATAGTAGTCATTCACATCCTTTCAAAGCCTTCCCTCTTTTGATACATTCATGAAGAATTAATTAAAGATGTGCAGTATATGGTCATGCTGATGAGGCCAATCAATAGCAGAGCTTTTTAAAAATCACTAGTGTGCTTGGACTCAACAGCATCATAATATTTTCATCACAGATCAAGACTCAATAACAAAACAGATCCCTGCAAAGAACCAAGGATGGACAGTGAATAAATGTACAGCTGAGGCATGTTGTGAGAAGCAATATAAATACCAACTCTTCAACATCCCTAAACGTATTTCTTAAAATTTTTATCTATCTTACTAGTAGGGCATTTTTCCCCCAATAATGCCAAATACTCTTTGCTTCTTATACCAAAGGTTTAAAAAACATGAATGCATTCACTGATGCTACTTCCAGTGGTATAACTGCGCCTTCTTTATCAATAAATGAGTTCAAATATGAATGTTACGCTCAATTTGGACTATTATCTCCCATTTTAGTTTCTATGATACACTAAATCAAGAGAAAATAAACTTTCCAACCTTATACTCACCAGTGGATTTGTTTGTTTTATAATCTGAATAGCAATAGCAATTTTCCTCCTAAGAGCGCTAAGATATTTCAAACACATCATCACATTTATCTATACAGGCTTTTTATTAGAAAGATAGTCTAAGATAACAAAAAAAAATTTTAAGTTCGAAGAAATTTGTTGCCTTCTTTTCTTACATTGTATCAGTTTTTCCACATTTCTTTTGGTTATCTACTGTCCTTTCATTTGAATATCAAAATAAAAACAGTACTATAAATGTGACCAATTTCCTGACCTTTTCCATTTTCAATTTTTTGTAGCATTCATATTTTTGTTTGCTTATTTGTTCATATTTCCTACTCTTGCTTTCTCTGATACCCTTTTTAGTATCATCTAGTCAAAAATATTTATTTTGAGTGTTTATTTTCATAATATACTATTAACTTCTCATCTCCTTACACTACTAGAAATAAGCTACATATCCTTTCTATATCTTTAAAATTATCACTTAAGTTTGTAAATCATGCCCATTGCTTCAATGTCCTCTTTTCCCAATTACTATTCTTGCTGTAAAATCTCCCTTAACAATCTAGTTTTTCTTTCTCTCATTAAGAAAGCCATTTGGTTTATTTCATGAGTCTTCTCTCAACATCCCCAGTAGGTAATCCAGGAAGAAACTTTATTTTAATTTTAGGGGGTAAAGGAAGAATAAATAAAGAAATTAAAAGAACCTGTCTAAACTCAACATATGTTAGAGCTAAGAATAAGAACTCAGGGCCTCTGAATTGGAGTGTAATTTTCATTTATATAATATATATATATATATATTTTTTTTTAAATTTATATAATATATACTAACGTATAGCACTCCACCAACTAAGGTGGAGTACTCCATGACAAAGGAATGACTCCTGCTACAGATAAAGGGAAAGAGAAAAATTTTGCCACAGCAAATACAAGTTATAGCTTTCTCTTTTTAATAAATAAATTGATTTATTTTAATTAGGTATATATGATAGCAGAATGCATTTTGATTCATTGTACACAACTGTAGCACAACTTTTCATTTCTCTGATTGTACACGCACCATGTATGTATGTATGTAGCATGTATGTACATAGCATCACACTATATGTGTAGTCATACATGTACCTAGAGTAATGATGTCCATCTCATTCTACCATCTTTCCTGACCCCATGCCTTCTCCCCTTTGCCTCATCAAAGTTCCTCCATTTTTCTCATGCCTCTCCCCACTTTGTGGATCAGCATCCACTTATCAGAGAGAACATTCTGCCTTTTGTATTTTGGAATTGACTTACTTTGCTTAGCATGATATTCTCCAATTTTAAGATTGGTTAAATGATTGGGTAAAACTAAAATGTAAAATTTAAATTTATACTATTCTTCAGTCATTATTATTGGTTAGGGAAAAATGTTTATCTGTTCAAATATCATATAAGGTAAAATTTCAAACACCTACATCTTCAAACCCAGTGCCTCAACACATGCCAGGCAAGTGCACTACTGTGAGCCACAGCCCCAGTCCCTTGAATACCTATATCTTAACATCTATTAAACAGTTCCTAAATGCAAGGCTTTGGTTTATGTAACTGTTTTAAATTTGAATTTCTTAATATAAGTTTAAATATAATTATACTTTTATGAAGAAAAACAATATTTTGATAGTTCCTCTGAATCACATGCCAAATGATCTCTGGTAACAAACATTTTGACAGTGAATTTAATGAGAAGAAAAAGAGGTTAAATATATTCTCCAGGCTTCCTCTAAAGATAGCATGCATAACAAAACTAACTCATTACTAAAACAGAATAATGCACTTCAACAATAAAACACATCCCTTCTGAGCTTTTGAATACCTAAGATTTCTTTTTATCAGAAAGAAAAGGTACTACATAATATAAACATTTAAATACATATCTTTATTTTATGGACTAAATAAAGGAAATAGGAATATAGTTGAAGATGGGCCTACCACAACTTCATGGTTTGAACTGTGTAACCTTTCTGCATCAGAAATCAAGAAGGCTTAGGTTTTATCTAAATATGTTATATATAAAATAAACATCACTTATATTATAAAATAATATAATTTAAATATTCACAAGCCGTCATTATAGTCATTTTTACAACAAATATAAATATCTTAACCAAAAGATATTTGACATGACTATAGATGAAACCCTATGAAGATATAAAGTAGCAAAAAAATGCCCTTAAAAAAATTAGTAATTGAAGGGGCTGAGGCTAGCGCTCTAGTGGTAGAGTGCTTGCCTAGTGTGAGGCACTGGGTTCAAACCTCAGTACCACATAAAAAAATAAATAAGGTATTGTGTCCATCTACATCTAAAAATATTTTTTAAAATTATCAATCTAAAAAGCAAGCCAATTAAAGGTCAGACTTTCTAAGCAAATCACTGGGATTAAAATGTTTGGTTAAGCTCATCTTACACTGAATCACTGAAGAGCCACCTTTGATATATTAAAACTATAATTTTTTTAATAAAGGAAAAGTCATTCTTTGCCTACATTAGTGATTTTTTTTCAAAATTACAAAAAAGTCAATAAACATGAATTACTCAATTTATGTGCATATATACATTTGATCTATATCCTTCAATATTAATATTTTATACTTTAAAATATTTTCATAGATTGTAAAAATAATTAATAGTGGTGTTTGTCTATCCAATAATATTCTTTATTGTTTAGTTTTGCCGACTCTTCTAGTCTCTGGGAACCCACATAGATAATGCTTGTGTGAAGAGCATCTTCATGTATTTTTTTTAGTAACAGAATTTTAAGATTTTACAGTTCTACACATAGCACTTGAATTCCCTCTATTAGAACCTTTATCATATCATACAATGACTGATTTACATGAGTACCCTTAAGAAAACTTCCTAATGACTAGGACCACCTTTAGAAATCTTAGTTCCCCAGAGCCTAGCAACTTACCAGAGTATTTTTATAATGAGTATAAAAAGTGAATTTTAAAAATAAGTCTTTTTACTAATATTTCTTGCAAAAGCAATTCCTTATGATACAAGAAATCTACAACCTAATAATATAAAAAAGAACCAATAGTAATAATAACAATAATGATAAATGTCTTACTGTTTATTGAAGAAATATGGTTGTGTTCCTAATCTTTGAGAAAGAGCCTGACAGCACTGGTCCACATCCTCTAAGACCTAACATACACAATGGAGCCCAAAGAAAAACATTTAAATTAACAAAACAGTTTGTATCACAGCTTATAATGAAAATATGCATTTAGTTTACTTTTTATACTTAAATAAGACAATAGACCACATATATATTAGTAATGTTTTCTATATAAGAAATAGGAAAAAAAAATGGAGACTGAATTTTCTTTAAATACAAGTGCATTAAAGTTACTCAAAAGGATCACTATCAAGAAAGCTTTTTTCCCCCCTCAAAATTGTGCTCCCTAAAAAAAGTTTTCCTGAATACATATATTCAAATTATTTTGCAAACATTAAAAAGTATGCCCCATAAAGATGATATCGCTGACCTACCATGAGTAAAACATTTTATTTTCCCACTAGTAGAGATGGATTTTATTTACTCCATCCCTATTCATTTGCTTAATCCCCTTTGTGAGATGGTTAGCTAGGACTGGGGGTACACTTGACAAAAAGAAACATTAATTAGCTTAAAATGATGCTCAAAATCACCATCTTGACAAGTTATTATATTTTTTAATTTTGCTACTTTAGTAAATTTAAGACCCCCCAAAACCAGATATATTGAGTACTGTATTTAAGAAGGTTTTTTTTTAAAAAAAAAAAGTTCTATTGCTGCAGATCTATATTTATTGACAGAAAGATGCCTACAATGTATTGTTCAACAACAATAACAAAAAATCATATTACAGAGTGGCAGGCAAAATATGATCCCATTGAAGGACAATATGACTAAAAGACATCAAGAAGAATGTTCTCCAAATAATTGTGTGTGACTATTTGTGGTGGTAGGATTTCAGATAATTTTTACTTCTCTTTTGCACTGTTCTGCATTACATAAATTTTTTGACAATAAACAAGTGTGATTTATAGAAAATAAACTACTTTGTGAGACAACTTTAGCAAATGTTTGCTAATATTATATTATTTTGCAATTCTCTTAAATGATTATCATTTTTAAAGCATAAGAGTTAAGCATTTTTTTCACCTTTAACTTGAACTGACCTGATCCAGAGTCTTGTTACCCCATCCAATTGCTTTCATCTTACGTTTGACTTCCCATTGTTTCTGATAGGCCAAAATATGATTCAGAGGCCAAGGGTAAGGAGATCCATACCTAGCATGAGTAATCTAAAGCAAAAAGATTTTGTAAGAAAGCATGATCCTTCCTAAAAACAATGCCTGTTTTTATAAACAGAATTCTTAAGAAATATATTTGAAAATATAAATAAAGCAATCTGAAAAAACCCCACATAGCTTGCAACTCAAAAAATTAAAATTTTAAACCATTCCCTTTAAAAATATATAAACTTTTATGTACTTTGCAACCAGTTATATCAAACAATGACACACAGCTTCCCTAAAATGTATGTGCAAGCAAAATTAAAGTAAGTGAAAAACTATATCACTAATGGTATAAACCACAATGTTTCATTTATGAGCAGGGACTTACGATTCTGAGCAAAAGTGTTTTCTCATTAAATTTTAATTAAGATAAATGCTGCAGAACCACTCACCTCCCCTACTGTAGCTTCATCACACCACTGAAGATACAACTAGGAACAAAAGAACAGTCACTAAAACTTCAGAATATCAAAGAGAAAAAAAGATAAAGAAAGTTATTTCTTACTATAGTAAATTTTTATAAGCCAACTTTGTAAGTCACTTATTATGAGAGTTTTTTTTCCTTAGCTAATGCTGCTGTACAGAATTATTAAATTTAATGGTGGTACTTTATAAAAATATTTCTTATTCACATAATACATATCTAAGTACGATTAAAGTATTTTATAGGTAATTACTTAAATAAATTTAAATAAATTTTAAAAGGCCAAAATAAAATAATGAGTAAGCAAGAATCACCACTTCTTACATTTAGGAAAAACTAAAACTGAAAATATAAAGTAACTTATTCAAAAATAATGATCAAATAATTTAAGTACCCATCTTACCCCCAGAATCACTTGATTGTTTTCCCATTTCCTAACAACTTTAAAAGTAATACATAAAAGGTTTATATTTTATGAAAGAATAAAGATTATAAAATATTTTATTTCAAGTCCTATTATCTTATACCTCTGCAGTCAACAGCATATTGTTGACTAATTCCATGTAAGCTTTCATTTCTGCTTTTTGGACTTCATCCAACCCATCACTAAGAGAATGGCCCTAAAGGGAGTTTAAAAAAATTTGAAAGAGCATCATATTAAATATACAAAAACTTACAGTTATCATACTAACAAGTAATATAACATGCAAGTGTCCAACAGATTAATTTTAAGGGACCTCCTAAATAATTTTATATAAAAAACATATCTTAAACTCTCTAAGTTGTATTTGTCATTATACAAATGTATCTTTCAATGAACAAAATTATATTATCAATTGTCACAAAAAAGGAAAACAGAATAGTTAGTAAATATTTTTTTAGGAGATTAACCATAATTTTTTTAAAATGCTAGATGATTGACATGTTGTTTATAAAGTGAGCAAGGACGAAAAAAATGTTAGAAAAGATATGGGGAAAAGACACTAATTTCAAAATTCTAATAAAGTACAGTAATAAATATATACTAAAATGATATAACCCTTAGTTCTATCTGGCAATGTCACAAAATTTTTAAAAAGCATACCCCAATTCCATCCAATATCGCTCGTAGGATTTATTCTAATAAGACAATTGTAAAAAAAATTGTATGTACAAGAACACCTATTCTGGCATTCGTAATAGCAAAAACCCTTGACTATAACCTAAATGCCAATCAATAAATACTTGGGTAAATAAAATTATAATACATTCAATTCAATAGAATACTATACAACAATTTAAAAGGATGATGTATATCTATATATCCACAGTCATTAACATGGAAGAATTTAAGAGAGATGTTGGTGATTTGAAAAGCTAGGTTGCAAACTATCATGATGCCCAAAATATTAATGGGTATCGTTTTTAGATAACTATTAAAATCTAAACTAAATAAATGAAAAGTACAATCATTAAAATGAATAAACTAATATTTTCAACTTATAAATACATCCTGCATCTACCTTCTCAAAGGTCAACGAGATACTTTATAATAACCTAAGTTTTCATTTATGACTAAAATTTTCACTAGCATATTAGAAAATTATATACCATTTTATTAAGATCAAATTACCTCTTTTGTCACTGATTTATACTACGAAAAAAATATCAATTTATACTTTAGAAATATTTTCTTGTAGTTTACTCATTTTATAAAACTAGTTTAAAATTAATGTAAATGTTAAGACATGCTGAAGAATGATGGATGATTTATTTAAAGTGGAACAAATATATTTAGTGTCTTATTTATTACCTTGGCTTTAACAAATTGGACTATTGGACCAAGTTCTGAGACTACTTGATTTCCCACATGAATAAAAGGTACTTTACCTGTCAAGGGAAAAAAAATGTGTAAAATACTTTCAATAAATTAAAGTTTGTGCTAATAAAAGAAACAATAAAAAATTCAAGCATGTTTTATGAACACGAAGATTTTATAGTTATACAAATATAACTTTTAAATATTATAGTCAGATACGTTTAAACTCTACAACTGTTTATACACTCATTACTAATCAATCTTAAAAACAAAAGAAAAAAGAACAAGTAGATTCATTTCTAGAGTTCTCACCTGGATATAATAACAGATCACAAAATTCTCTTTTCAGTAATCCTAACAAATCACTATATAGCAGTAAACACTAACCATCCAAATTAAGCCAGGACATAATTCATGAACACTTACAAAGTTCAAAGATATTTAACTTGGCTTTCTCTTTGGAGTACTGTACAATGAATCAATCTATATTGTGAACTACATATAAGAAGTCTTTTTACATTTTCGAAATTTAAATCTCTGGTATAAATTAAGGTCAATTTTGAGTACATAATGATGCATTACTAAATGTCTCTGACTTAAAATATCACGAATTAAAAGAATTAACAATCTTTGAAAGTATGCTAGTTTGTGAGCATACAAAGTATGTTCCTAATACACAAGGGCAAAAGGAATGGTATGCTTCTAAAAATTGACTACTTTTTTAAAAAAAGGCCACATTTAAAATGCAACAGTTCATTTTAATAAATACTAATATTTGATAATGTTATCAGAGATGAGGAGAACAAATAGTAAGGACTATTCCAAACACTAAAGGATGAAACCTGCTGTCAGATCTAGTTCAAATAGAGTTCACACTAACAGCAGGCTTCTTCCTGATCCCTTTCAATGGATTCACTTCTTGGCTCAGTCAGCCTGGGGGTAATGGATGAGGTGCACAGCACCAACAAAAGCTTCATCTGTATCCACAGGATAACATGCATTACAAAGGAAAGGCAGGCCTTTTGGAATACAACTCAATAGATGTATTTAGAAGACATTTCCCTGTTAACAACTGTGCATTCCTTTCTTCCAGAGAACATTTCCCTGTTACCAAGTGTACATTCCTTCCTTCTACTGCTTTATAAATCTTGTAAAAAAGTATTTCTTAGCAGGGCAAGTATTAGCCCGTCGTTTTTTAACTTGACTAAAATCTTTGTAACTACTGTACTATTACAAAGAGTACAGGTCATCTGAGATTAAAAAACAAAACAAAACAACAACAACTAAAAACTAGTGCCTAGACTAAAGGGTATTTGGGGTATGTCATTTTTAGATGAAAGTATATTTCTCCTTAATAAGTAGTTTCAAATTCTTGGAAAAAGTATATTTCTTTTCTTAAAAATATACTGAGCACTATAGATTCTGAAGGAGAAAAGAAGTCTGGATGCTCAAGTGAGTACTCATGTATCTAATCATAAAGAGATATATAAAAATCAAGGTGTAAGGAACAACTGCCATAGACAATGCCAGGACTCACTGAAGTTGCTGGCCATGAGGAAGAGCAGCCATTGAACTGTTTAGTCATGTCTGCTTGCTATTGATAATGACCTGTAACAGGCACTAGCCATAAGCATGCTTAGCAATAACTGGTTACAATTAATAGGGAGCAAATGTCCATGGACATGCGTGAAGAACATTCCCAGTTGCAATTACATCATTTTTTTAACTTGACTAAAATTTTGGTAAGATTTTAGTCATAACCAATGGACACTGACTTTTACTGGATGTAACCAATCACCAAGGTACACCACCAACTTCGAACTGTATTTAAAATGCTTGTCCTGCCACACTGAAGAGTTTTGCTTCAAGAACATTGGTGAGACTGGCTGCCTTGCTGTGCATCCCCGAACTGACCCATTCCCTGACGTCCAGCTATCAGCTGGAGAGAACCACCAGACAAGGACAATGTCTGCTCTTTAGCTAGGAGAAGTCACGTGGCATCAGAGGTATTTGGGGGCTTATGATTGCCCTAGGATTGTGCAATTTGCTTATAAAGTTTAATTAGTGTGCATGGAATGCCAGTTGAGGTGCTCCAGCACAGCCAACATTTGTTGTATTAATTGTTTATATATGATGATTGGTGTGATCGAATATACGCTTGCACTGAAAGACAATTTGCCTCCAAGTAATTATTAATAGCGCCACTCAACACACAAGGCAACAGATTACAAGTGAACAATGTTTTCTGTCACTACCTTGACTTAAAATAGAGCCAATGTTAAATGATTATTATTGCAGGTTATCAGGTAAAAGCACAGTGACAGTTATTCTCTGGCAGCAAAGGTCATAAAAGAAAACTGAGGGCTGTTTTTCATTTTAGGCAGAATAGTCACTTTTAGAACTTTATTTCTCTTTTTAATATTTATTTTTTAGTTGTGTTGGACACAATACCTTTATTTTTATTTATTTATTTTTATATGGTGCTGAGGGTCGAACGCAGGGTCTCGCACATGCGAGGCAAGCACTCTACCGCTGAGCCACATCCCCAGCCCTAGAACTTTATTTCTATGAAAAAGCAAGAACATATTGCCAAACAAGTTTGTAGATTCAGAGAGTGTCAGAAACAGAAAGAACTTTGGATGTCATCTAATTTGACCATCTCATATCACAGAGGAAGTTTACTGAAGAGAAGTTAAATTTCCCAAGGAATTGTTTTGTATTTGACAAAGTCATAAAGATTTAAGTCTTTAAGACAAATAGTCTTCTATTTTGCTCTCTGCTTTAAAAATCTATTACAACTCAATAAGAAAACAAATAATCATATTTTTTAAATGGGAAACAATCTGAACAGTACTTTACCAAAGAAGATATATGAATGTCAAACATATGAAAAGATACTCAATATCATCAGTCACTAGGGAAAGACAAATTAAAACCACAGTGGGAAATTACTACACACCTATCAGAATAGCTAAGATTTTTTTCCTTTTTTTTTAATTAGTGCATTATAGTTGTACATGATGGTGGGATTTGTTTTACATATTTGTACATGCATATAATATAACAGTATAATTTGGTCAGTATTATTCTTCAGTATTTCCCCTCTCTCTTTCCTTCTCCTTCCCCCTGGTCCATTTTCTCTACTCTACTGATCTCCCTTTGATTTTCATGTGATCACCCCTACCTTTCTTTTCCTTTTTCCTCTCTAGTTTCCACATATGAGAAAAAAAATAAAACCCTTGACATTCTGAGTTTGGCTTACTTATTTAAGTTCTTTCTGTTTTCCTGCAAATGACATAATTTCATTTTTCCATTATAGCTGAATAAAACTCCATTTTCTTGATCCATTCATCCATTGGTGGACACCTAGTATGGTTCCACAGTTCAGCTATTATAAATTTTAATATTGTATATGGTGTAATGTATTGATTGAAGTTCTTTTTTTCTCCTCTTTGCCTATGGGTAACTAATTGGGCCAACACCATTTGTTGAAAAGACTATCCTTTCTCCAAGGACTTCCTAGGCAACTATCAAAGGTCAAACAAGCAAATAAACTTTTTAAACACTGCCCCTATCACCTCAACTCATGTGATGAAGGGGAATACTAATAAGAGATATGACTAAAAGTAAATATCTTAGTCGAAAGTGTCATTTTCAAATACTTACAAGAGACTCCACCTATGAATGAGAAATGTATCTTTCCCTGTTGTCTTTCATGGAGTATGAAAAGAAGACAAATTAACTAACTAAATGATACTAAACATAGTAACTTAAACATAGTAACTTATACATAGTAGAGGAACCATGACTTATTATTTACCAAAGTTTTTAATTTTGGTATTAGATTACTGATCTTTTCTTGTGTGTGTACATATATACAGATATATGTATACACTCTCAGTATGACTACAGAGGAAAAAAAGATGGAAAGAACACATATATTTCAACAGAATTCAGTAAAGTTTATAAAAAAAACTTTGCCCTATCACCTCAATTCATTTTTTATCTATAAAATCAGCTTAAAAATGAGTCAATGAATGACTTCCATGAATCTAAAATATATTTACATTCAGAAGTCTAAAAAATTATTTTGGAAATATTTTCTAAATGTATACTCATAAGTCTAATAAATGCATATGTATACATTCAGAATCTTCAGTGTGTATGGGATTGGTATCTTTATATCTTTTGACAATTACCACTACCCATAAAAACTTAAGGTGAAAAAAAAAAAAAGCTTAACAAGTCATTCCTAAGTTATCATCATATCACAATGAAAAGAACTAATATTTTCTCCCTAAAAAAGCAATATAGTTATATTCAACAATTTATCCATGAAGGAGTGGTCCCATGTGCTATTACTGCTCCAGTAAAACCACAATTAAAATAACTCATGTCAATTACATTTAACATTTATTTAATAGCTTTGTGATATATTTTTGTATTGAAAATAAATCATTTAAACACTACTTTAGTCAACTAGAATATGAAATACAGAAACAAAATACTGATCATAAAACATAGCAAAAGGTAACATTTTAATAAATAATATCTTAAAATCTGTTAAAATAAAACAGCCTTCCTTCCCTTCCCTTCCTCCCTCAATCCCTCCTGCCCCCTTCTCCCTTTCTTCTCCTCCCTCCCTCCCTCCTTCTTCCTCTCTCTCTCTCCCTCCCTCCTTCCTTCCCTCCCTCTTCCTGGCTACCACGTGAATGGTTCTGCTCTACAACATTCTTCCCACCACCATGTAAGTTTACAAAATAAATCTTAGGGTATCTCCTGCAAAAAAAATAATAAATAAATAATAAAGAGTTAGAAACTAAAAAATGTCGACAATGATTTTAACTAAGATCTAGTGACAAGTTAATTATTCCATGATATTCCTTCTTCTCCCTAATATTATACGACAAGATAATTTAGACAAGTGTGTTCAATAATAAAGGGATTCATTAATATTAGAATGTGTTTAATATTAGAATTTGTCCTGTGTAAAGTAAAACTAGGAAAATCTGAGATTATGTATTTTCTTAATATTTACTTATTTAAAATAATTTTCATAACATACCAGTAACCATCTCTGATCAGAGTTGAAATCTGTAGACAGACTGGCTCCAAGATTGTTAAGATTGCAATTACTACTTTACAAAACAATGTGAAAATTCTTCAAAAGTAAACAACAAGAACAACAACAGCAAAAATTAAGCATTTTTAACATCGACACAAATTATAATTTTATCAATCCAGAATGTAAACAGAGAAGGAAAAAAATCATACTTACCAGATGGAGACATATATTCTGCATTTGCCCTATAAACCACTTTGACAGGCAGATTACACATCTGCAAAAAGGCCTATAAATAAGAAGAAATACAGTAAGTCTAGTGAAAGTTTATTTATATTTGAACAAAACTTTTTATTTATTTCATAAACTTAATAGTCCATACAGCAATACTCTACTGGAAAAGAATAAACCGTTTTAAAGTTAAGGATTTGTGGGCTGGGGATATGGCTCAAGCAGTAGCGCGCTCGCCTGGCGTGCAGCCCGGGTTCGATCCTCAGCACCACATACAAAGATGTTGTGTCCGCCCAAAAACTAAAAAATAAATATTAAAAAAAAATTCTCTCTCTCTCTCTCTCTTTAAAAAAAAAAAAAGTTAAGGATTTGTTTTCCAAACAAAAATAAGATATCATTTCACTAATAAAAAGTCAATATGACTTAGACATTAATAAACACATGAAACTGCTACATGTGGTGGTGCACACTTGTTATCCTAGGAGGCTTCAGCCAGCCTCAGCAACTAAGTGGAACCCTGTCTCAAAATAACAAATGTAAAAAGGACTGAGAATGTGGCTCAGTGGTAAAGCACCCATGGGTTCAATCACTGGTATAATAAATAGATAAAGTCTAACTAACTTAAAATATATATACTTAAGGAAGCACATAAATATCCCTACTTGTTTACTATATTAGTTTAGGTAAGTAAGCAATCTTAAACTTTGCTTTAATTTTAATAGATTATTGAAGTCCAAATTTTATAAGGTACTGATTGCTTAATTCCACTACTCTCTGCAGAATCATCATCTCTCTCATCTGCTACTTCAACATTCTCTCCAGTAATATTCAAAATCCTAACTAGGTAGTTCTGTGGTCACTAATTCACTTTTTAAAGGTTTAAACTGTTTATCTTCACTTGGTTTATAGGAACAAAAATTTTACAAGCAATTTAAATGTCTTTATAAAAGTATAGGTAAATCATTACAGTAATTCTAAACCACAGAGTATTGTACAGTCAATTTAAAAACTCATGCTTTTGAGAATATTTTATGATAAAGAATAAATGTACACATTATAATGTAATATAAAAAATACAAAATCACATTACTACAGAATACTGATTCATTTTTACCTGTTAAGACACCAGTGCACTCTACCAAATCCACTATTTTTTATAATAATCAAAGTTTACTCCCCTTGTTTTCTCTCCTGTGACTTTTTGGCTTCTTTATCTCCACACATAAAACTTATCTATGTTCTCTATGAAACAGTTTAATTATTCAACTGGAACATCATACATTATAATGGTTCTATTACCACATACAAGTTAGAAAACAAACCTTTCATCTTCTTTGAAACTGAGGAAACTATTATAAATAGCAGTCAAATGTAATTTAAGATAAATTAGGGCTGGGATGTGGCTCAAGTGGTAATGTGCTCGCCTAGCATGCGCAGGGCGCTGGGTTTGATCCTCAGCATCATATAAAAATAAAGATATTGTGTCCACTGAAAACTGAAAATAAATATTAAAAAAGATAAATTAATAAATTAACAAGGCTACTACTTATCACATATTAAGATTATGAACAGAACACCTTACTATCACCCAATAGAGATTTCTCATAAGAGTTAATATAATTCGTTAGTTCTGGATCAAAAATCAGTCTTTTTTGGAGGGGTTGGGGGTATGGGGGATTGAACTCAGGGGCATTAGACCATTGAGCCACATCCCCAATCCTATTTATTTAGAGACAGTGCCTCATTTTTGCTGAGACTGGCTTTGAACTCACAATCCTCCTGCCTCAGCCTCCCAAGCCACTGGGATTACAGGTGCGTGTTACCATGCTGGCAAAAATCAGTCTTAAGACTCAAAAAGTAGTTAAGAGTACTGAACAGTGATTACTGCCTTGTACAAAGAGCTCCATTTACCCCAAATTATGTCAATTCCCTTCTTCAAATACATCTTCCCAAAATTCTAGTCCTCTAAAGAATGTTTCCCTATAAAAATAAATCCTATTAGTCTCAATCTATTACCCTCACTACTTAGTTTGATTTGCTACATTTATCTATAACTTATATATGCATGTCTGATCTCCCTAAGTGTGTGACATTTCTTAGAAAGCCAAGTAGTAGGTTTTAATTTTTTGTATTTGTTACCCTCCCCACAGTCTCCACTTCCCACAACTAACCTAAGAGAGTGCAGTACTTGTAAATAAGCATTCAACACTGTTTACTGATGGGCCAAACATGCTCCCAAAAGTTTACTGTAGCCATCTGTCCATCAACCCCTCTACCCTTCACAGATGTTCTCCCCTTTCCCTATAGTGGATGAACCTGTGAATTATATCTGTACACAGATGGTGCCTGAAATTAAAAACCTGTATTCCCAGTCTACTTTATAATGAAATGTGGTCAATGTCTCAATTTTGGTCATTGGGACTAAAAGTTCTGCATAACCATTAGGAAGTTTCTTTAAAAGAAGGGGATATGTTTTCATTTTTCCCCCCTGCTGACTGAAATGTGAAAAGAATGATTATAGGTACCACAGTGAAACTGAACCATGAAATAGAAGCTGAGGATGAGGCAACAAGAGTAAAGGAGTCCCTAAACTTGGATTACCTGCTTTTATAAAAGAAAGACATAAGCTTCTTTTTACACTGCTACTATATTTTAGGTTTCTGTCACCTATAGTGTAATCCTAATTTATTCACCTACAATTACTAATCATAGGTTTAAACACCATCTCACCTGATCAAAAGTTTGATTCTTCTACCTCTAAGTGTAAACAAGTTGTCTTCTCAATCTATTACCTCTGATCCCAGATTACAGTAATAGCTTATTGTGACCCCTATTATAGGCTAGGACAATGATTCTCAAACCTCATCAAAATCATGTGGAAGGCGTACTAAAAAGGAAAGAATTAGAGTAAATGTGAACAATTCATTTTAAAAGCTAGATCAGCAGGAAGAGGGAGTAGAAAAATGGATTCCCTTCTATTACTTATGTATCTATACTGATGATGAAAAGCAGAGCTCTTCACTGAGAGGGGAAAAAAATGGCAGAGATGAGCTCAATGACAGAACACTTGCCTAGCATGTGCAAAGCCTGGGTTCAATCCCCAACACTACAAGAGGAGAAGACACACACACCCCACACACATACATACAAACACCAGTTGAGATAAGCCGAAATTATAAGAAACAAGATCCATTAGAAGATAAACAAGGATAGAATTAAGAACACAGCTAGAGTGATGAGTTTTTTTCAGGAAACAGATTTTTTTCCACTGCAATGCAAGGATGTTCAGAATCAATGATGTTGACTATATGTTGATAAGAGAGGACAAGAAAATGAGTACTTGCTCACATTCAGTGAAATGGGAAGAGGAATCATTTGCTGAGAACAAGAGGATAAGAGGGATTTAGGCCTTTTGGAGAGCAAAGGAATATGAAAGAACTGTTTAATATATCTTCTCAAATACTCAATTGCTAGTTGACAATTATAATGCTATATAAAATATTAAGTATGATATATTTTGCTAGACTATATGCACAGTGATAACTATACTAATCAATAATCTATAAATTTATATTTCACTAGAAAAAAGATTAAATAGTCAATCTACCCCTATATTTCTTAATCAGTCCCATAATTTTTCACTCCTGTATGAAATATAACTGACTTAATTTTGAACAATTTAACAACACTCAACTTACCACAGACCTCAAATGATGGTATAATTCTGGCCAGCCAGAAATTAATTTTAGAGCATTTACTTCAATTACTCTTCATCAAAAAATTTTCCACATTAATCTGTACATCACAAATAAGTTTGATGGCACAAAAACAGCATTTTTATACAAACATTAAAAATGCAAAACCAACACATCACCATGACTGTTTTCAATAATATAAAAACTTTGAAACAAAGCAAACTTTGACTTAAATAGTATCTCTCTTTTCTCTCCAAGGATGGAAGATAAGTCTGAGAAGTTCCAAAACAGTACTTTCACCTTTCACTATTTTCTATTCTTTTATTTAATTTTTAAATATTCTTCACTGTTATTTGCAATCTTATCAACACACATTCTCTCTCACACACACACACACACAAAAAAACTCCAAGTAATAGGCCTAATATACCAGCCTATAACACATTTTTTACTTTCAGTTTCAAGTAGCAACCTGCATATTTTTATTCTTATGTAAAGCCAAAGAAAAATGTCACTCTAATTATAACAAACTTAGGACAACTCACTTAACTCATTCTCTAGTTGGATAGTTTATTCCAAACCAATTCAAATGAATGACAACATAAAATAATTTGAATGAAAACAGCACATCCTATCAGAATAATGTTTTATAACTATGCTGCTCAATATGGTAACCACTAATTATATGTTGTTATTTAGATTAAATTTAAATTTATTAAAACTGAATAAAATTTTAAAGTCAGTTTCCCAAACTAGCCACATTTCAAGAGCTCAATGGAACCTTTGACAACTGGCTACTGTATTAGCACACATACAAAACTCTTTCTTCATCACAGTGTGATGTGGTGATGACTTCTAGATGTCTATGGGACAGCATGGGTCTGTAACAATAATAATCAACACATAAAAGAGGTCCTGGTATGAAAGTCTGACATCACCTATAAGTAATTAAACTAAATATTATTTAAAACACAATCTTCATAACGGTACAGTGCATAAAAATAAGTAATCAACTTTAAAAAAAATTTTTTTTTAGTTGTAGATGGGTATAATATCTTTATTTATTTATTTATTTTTATGTGGTGCTGAGGATTGAACCCAGTACCTCACATGTGCAAGGCAGGTGCTCTACCACTGATCCACAACCCCAGCCCAGTAATCAACTTTTGATGCTGATGACACATTTAACATCATAATATTCCTAATTTCAGAGAGAATTAATATAGGGTTACTCATTTGTTGAATAACTGATAAAACGATCAAGCAAATTAAAATGTAAAAACTAAAACCTAAAAAATTAATTAAAATTCAGTCAATAAATATAGTTATATAGTTTGTATTTTTCAAATACAAATCTACTAAG